TCCCACGTATCTCTCTGCCCTCCACTTCCTAGACATAAAAACAACACAATCTAAATACTGACACAGTCTTGGACACAGTAGTGAGCGACGCTTAATTCTTTCAGCAGCTTATTCACATTTGTACGTGTATTTTTTGTTCATTCCTCTCACTGTTATTTCATATTACAAAAACAAAGAAAAATTAGCAGTTCTAGAGACCAAAGTTTAAGACTATCACGTACAGTAGGCTATAGGCAGCATAGAGTACAGTAGTAGTAGGAATACAGTAGGTCACTTGAAGAAGAGCCAGAGAGAGAAGTCTGTGATTGTCAGTCCCTCCTTTTCTGAGGTGTCCTTTCATACAGCAGTTGTTGTTTTTCCTCCTTTTTTTATTCTGTCTCAATTTCACCAATTACTTTGATCAGAGGCACCATCTTCAGCCGGAGTTACATTTGTGCTGACTAGTCTGTATGGTAACAAACATCCCTCTCACACAGCCTCTTTCTATAATTGTCAAAAATATCACCACTGTCCAACATGACACAGTTCATTATTACAAAAAGAAAGGAAACCCAGCAGGTCGGCACACACACAGTGCAGCCAGCTGAGATGTTGCTTCCACGTCTTGTCTCTCTTGACATCGGAGGCATCGTTTGTTTCTCACACACCCTGCCTTCTGTTATTGCGCAGAGAAACTGTGTGTGTGTGTGTGTGTTTTTTTAGTGTGCTCACTCAGTGCAAACTCCACTACGACTTTACAGCAGGGATGGATTTTGAGGACCTTGTTAGCTGGCCTTGTCAACGCTGCCCCTGGCACTCATGCTCCGACAGGTGACAATAATTTTGCAATGTGTCAAACTAAATCTACAAAAGTGGCAGACTGGGGGAATATCCATCCCTGCTGTAGTGTACGGCGTACACGAGGACACAGATGTTTAGAGGGAGCCCGACATAAAAATACATAAACAATCAAGATTATCTTACACATTAGCTAAAACATAATTAATTAAACCAGTTCAGTTGGTTGTTGCAAAAGGCAACCTTAGATATAGAAAGAAATGTACAAAATGCTTCTTAATTTATAAATCAATCAACAATTTCAAGTTCACAAACATCAATACCATCAAGTGCTGTTGTTAATAAACAAATAAGACTTATAATTCCCGATTGATGTTTTACAGCAAATCCCAAAAGCTTTCAGTGAAACCGCAGTGATCATGACTTCTAAATATGTCCGCAAAGAGTCAAATATGCCCCAGTAAAATGCAAAAAGAAACAATAAATGTCTTTCCTTGCATGCATGTGGTTGCATGTTGTATACAGAGTAAGCTCACTACTATTAGCAGGAGAACCACTTACAGTACTGTAAGCAAGTGAAGTGGTTCTCCATAATCGGGATGTGCGGTGCATTATTGAGTTCATTTTCACTGTAAGCTGTTGGTGGGCTGCCAGTAAAGTGTGTTTGTGTGGTTGTGGCCAGCGGAATGTGATGGGAGCGTGAAGTTGTGGCTTTACGAACATCTGCAGGCTACAGTAATGATGGATGATCACTTTCACTTTCTCCCTGAGGACATTCACACCTCCTCTCACTCCTTTCTCACTCCACTATCTTCTCTTCCTCCTTGATCTTTCTCATCATGACCCATTCAAACCTTTTCCCTCCCATTGCCTTCTCCTTTCTACTCCATTGCTTCCGCTCTGAACTCTCTCCAATTCTTTCCCAGTATGCATTATTACCTCTCCTCCTCTTATTTCCCATCTCCACTCCTCCCCTCTTTCTCTTCCTTCCCTGTTTTCTTCTCTTTCACCTCTCCATCCCTTCTTCTCAGCCATAAAACAATAAGTCTTGAATGTCTGTGAGGAGACTGTGCTAATGGAGCCCATTAGGCTGTAATGAAATATACATTACACCATTACAGTGGACGGGGCCTGGCTAAAGCACTGCACCGCTCAAATAATAGAACATGCACAATTCAATTTCCTTCTCGTCCCGTTTTGAGTGTCTTTCCCTGTGTGTGTGTGTGTGTGTGTGTGTGTGTGTGTGTGTGTGTGTGTGTGTGTGTGTGTGTGTGTGTGTGTGTGTGTGTGTGTGTGTGTGTGTGTGTGTGTGTGTGTGTGTGTGTGTGTGTGTGTGTGTAGATGGAGGAGGCGGAGCTGCGCAGCTGCATGGAGAAGCTCCAGGCTCGACTGCAGGCCTGCGGGGTGGATTCTCCTCAGCAGGTGCAGGCGGTGCTGGAGTCTCTGGTGATGAAGAAGCAGAGTCTGTGTGAGATGCTGCAGTCCTGGAACGGCAGGTCAGACTCACCGAACACTCCTTGTCATATGTTGTATTGGATATTATTTACTTATGGATAAGATTGGGTCTGAAACCACCAGACTCAGAGACAGTTTCACCCCACAGGCCATAAGACTTTTAAACACCTGAACTTTTGAAACAACATCCATAACATTCATCTGTTTGCAACTTATATATATCAAAAATCCAATTACTTGTATATAGACTATTCTGCACTATTTCTATTATATTCTATTTTATTTACTTGCACTAGTATCTGTTTTATTGTGTTGCACTGTTGGAGGAGCCTGTGACCTAAGATTTGTATTGTCATAACTACACTGTAGCTATGCACACATGACAATCAAATCTGAATCTTGAATCCTAAAAAGTCAAATGTTCATTCCTACATGTCAAACACACAGAAAACGGCCGTTCAATCAGGAGAGACTTCATTTTGTTTAAAGAACATTTATTGACACATGATAAATGTTAAGTCTTTGGCGATTAGACCCCGATGCTGAAATCTTATATCTAAAGGGGGAAATGCAGCCGCGAGCATATAGGGAACCCCCCGGGGTCTAGACACTGGTGATGATGCTGAAGATCTGGATTTGATGAGGAGGTGGGATGATGAGGGGAGGTGATGAGGTCTTTGGATTAGCTCTCCTGGCTCTGGGTATGATGAAAGGAGGTGGATGGGGAGGAGGCGGGCGGCAGCATGAACACCTGGAATCACAGCTGACTGCAGGAGAGAGGAGAACCATTTTAAAGTTTGGCTGCAGCTCGGTGATTGGCTGCTGGAGATTGAGGTGAATGTAATAGGTTAACAGGAAGCCAGTGATGAGCTGAGTATAAGCAGCTGCGGAGTGAATGTATCCCAGTCTTCCTGGAAGAACTTGCACTGAGCTTCATTTAATAATGAACTTTGACCAGTATTATTAAAACCGCACAACTCTGGTTTTTAGTTGTTTACATGCTGATATTATTTTTGTTGATTAATCTTCGAATGATTCTCTTGATTTATCGTTTATGACAGAACATTTCCCCAAACGTCTTCCAATGTAATGACTCCTTTTGATATGTTTTATCAGATATTATTTATTTGGTGGAAAGTCAAACAAAATCAAACTTATGAGGAAAAGGAAATGACAAAAAGTACCAAAGAATGAGAAACTGCCATAGAGTCGTCCTACATTTAATCTGTGTTTTTTATATATTAAAGGTCACCTATCATGCTACGTGTAGGCAATAGCATAGGTCTCAGATATATACAAAGATATAAAAAACATGTCTATGAAGTGTTTTGCTCAAAACACCAAACAGATTTCTAGCCATGCCTCATATCCCTCTATTTCACTTCCTGTTTCAAAAGTGCTGATTTTGGGATATAAAGCTTTAAAAAAAAAAAATCGATAAAACAAAAAGGAGGGGGCGGAGCTCATGCGGGACCCGGCAGCTCTGTCTAAACTAAATACTGCCGTGATGAAACACCATATCATGGATTATCAAGGATTATCTCTGAAACAGTTGGAGCTCAAAGGCTTTCTTGCCGTTATATGTTATATTCTCACAGGACAGACACAGACGGCCCCGAGCCCCCCTGCCTTCTCTGCGAAGGACGGAAAGAGGACGACCTTGTTCAGGACGTCGGACTTCTCTCCTCTCCTCCTTTGTGGCACTCCTTCTGCTCCTCTTTCTCTCGGACCCTCGAAGAAATTTTCCCTTGGATAGTACGTTTTACGTGAAAACTACAGAAAATATGTATTTACACAGGGGGCCACACAGCCCCTGAGTGCGTCGCAGTCTTTTATTTTGGGGAGAGAGAAAAGGAGGCATGGGTTTAGAGATTTTTGCCCCGATGTTGCCTCGACTAGGTCTAAACGCAGGCTATACTGCATTATAGACTTTACACCTGGGTGCCCGGTTAGTCTTTGCAACGATAGTCTTTGTTAACGGGCTGACAAAACCCTGCATTATACCAGCCACAAATGTAATCGTTACCGATTGTGAGTCTCGATTGGACATGACCTCTCGTACACACACTTCTTCGTCCTTCATTTTTCCTTGAGTGGAACACCATATT